ATCTAGCCTACCTAGAACCCCCCCTAAAAGAACCCTTAAAATGACATCTACAGGAAATATACATTTTTCTGTTGACTTGAATATGAATATAGATGACAACATACAGAACCTACAGCAGGATTATTTTAAAAGGGTTGATTATGGGATACAAGATCAGGATGGGTGTGCAGGCCTGAAGGCAGTGATGTGATGGTCACATCCATAAATGTTGCTGGCAATGCCCATAATGGGTAGGACCAACTACAAAATAAGCAGGCCAGCCAATTGAAGAGGCCAGTCTAGTTGTCCCCTACCTGCCGGTCCTGCAGAGTTCACTGCTGAAGTGCTCTCTGCAGGGTCTGAGTGCACACGAACAGCGCATGTGTGTCTAAGTGCACTGTGCTACCTGAGGACAGTTCTAGTGTCCTAGGATGCTTGTCACCAGATAATTAAATCTAGATAGTGCAACATGCCCCTTCCAGCGACACTATAAGCACTAGAACCCTTTTTAGCTTGATGAAGCAGTTTTGGTATATATATTATGCCCCTGCAGTCTCACCACTCAATTCTCTGCTATTTAATTTAAAGTTAAATGGCAGTTCTAATCAAAGTTAAATCACTTTGATTATGCAGCCCTAGTCAAACCTCCCTGCATATGACTTACATAGCCTTCCTAAACACTTCCTGCAAAGAGTTAAAGTTATTTTATTGCACAGTCTATTTAATTTAGAATGTCTTATCTACTGCTCTGGTAATAGCCATCTAGACCCTGCAGGACCCTGCTGTGTGTGATTAAAGATTAATTTAAAGAGCAGGAGATAAAACTTCTAAAGTAAGTTAACATTTTATTGAAAATGAAATATTTTTTGTCATGCAGGCTATGCCAGTCACAGCCAGGAGAGGTGTGGCTAGGGCTGCATAAACAGAAACAAAATTTATTTAAACTTAAATGGCATGGAATTGAGCAATGAGACTGCAGGGTCATGATCTATACACTAAAACTGCTTAATTAGGAGGGCGGAGCCTGATGGTAATGACGACTGGACGTGTTCTTTATGTGCTCCTAAGGCTTGTGGCAATTAAGTCCAGTCGCCTGCACCTTTGGCTTCCTATTTTAAGCTGATTGAAGCATCCTGCTATCCAGCATCGACTGACCAGTTCGGGGACGCATCCAGCGGTCGTCTGCTGAGAATTTGTATGTGAGGCCTAGTTGACGCTGCGGAGGGGAGAGGTAGCCGATCTCCCGGCCAGATGTGCGCTGACTCATGGAGCCAAAGCCCCGTTATCCCCCCTCCCCATGGACTGGCTGGGGATGATCCCGGTCCCTGCCCAGAGGGCTCCTTACCTCCATAGAAGGATGGCAGTAGTGCCGCAATTCCCGCTGTTACCACGGATGGAGGCGAATGCAGGCTCCGGGATGCTTCTGGAGGAGAGCACCAGTATTCTGCAGCAGCTGAGGCATCACTTTCAACAGTTCTGGCAGAAGCTGCAGGACAAGTGTCTACTGCCTCACACAACCTCCAAAGTCTCACCCACCTGCACAAATAATTCAGAACCCCTGTGATAGACACGTGGCTCTGGGCCCTGTTGTGGCCCACATCAAGCGGCAAGGACCGCACCGCCTTCGCTGAAGGATGGCAGTGCATACCATCTGCTGAAGCGAGGCACACATAAGATAGGCAGGAGAGGTACCAGCCAGACGGCAACACACCACGGAATGCTGACTGCCCCCTAACATCTGATATACCATCAAGGTACTCTCTCACTGGCACTTACCCCACTGAGCTTGCTAATTAGCACCACTATCTGGGACTTAATTGCCCTTGAAAGGCATAGACTGAAGGACACCTGGAATGTCCAAGTGTGCTGCTCCATGCTCACTACCCTGCTGCAGCACTCTGCTTCCCCATACTCCTAAGCAAACACTAATTGGACTCTCACGCCTATCACATGGAGCCCTACGGGGTGGAATCCCTCTCCAGACAACAGTCATATAATACTTTTTATGCTACTCTATGCATTTGTTGTCTTCTCATGCAAAGTTCCGTTTGGCATACAAATTTTACCACAGCATATCATACTAAGCCTGCTTGTTATACAAAAAAAGAAAAAAAAAGAAATGTGCAACACTTTTGATATCCTGTAATGCTAATGCACCCTCTTATGTTTTACCTTAACCTATGGATATGTCTATATAAGCTTCTTTGTCAATCTCTGTACAACAACAATAAATAATATAAAACAAACTGCTTTATCAAGGTAAAGTGGTTTTGATGCCTTTAGCATCACTTTAATCAGGAATCTTCTGCTGTAATCAGAACTGTAAATAGTAGCAAGTGCGTGAGCCTGCCAATTGTAATTATGTTCTAAAGAGCAACAGAGTATCAATTTAATTTCTTCTGCACTGCATATTGCAAACTCAGCAGGTTTCTAAATGCAATATTCACTTAGCTATTTTATTTGTGTACATTGTGAGGTCAGTATGTCAAAACTTGTGGCATATTTTCTAGGGCACCTTGGCACTTATACAATATTAGTTACTATACCTAATTTGATATTGCTTACATAGGCCACATACATTTTCACAAATTCTTTTAGACATATATACATACAAACACTAAAAGGAAAGATTGCCCAACATTTTTCCTAGCTGCCTGGGATGGCAGGGCTGCTAACGTTATACACTGGTTCTCTTCCAGTTGCCCACAGGGGCCTATGTCATACATGAAGATGCCATTTCTATGCTGAGTGTGCAAGTCAGAGGGCAAGCATAACTCAAGAATAAAATGTTCTATGCTTGTTTTGAAATTATATTTTGGTTCCTCTGTCTCAGTATCCTAGGTGACACTACGGTGTTCCTGTATCGTGCTGTCATAGCTATAGACCCGTCTCAGATTATGAAAAACCAAAATGAGTACCAGACAGTGCTTTGTGATTCTGCTGCATCAGTGCTGGAAATCCAGCACACTTTGAAACTATCTAGGTCCATGCATTGATTAAAACTGTTTAGGATTACATACAGTTGCAAGAAAAAGTATGTGAACCCTTTGGAATGATATGGATTTCTGCACAAATTGGTCATAAAATGTGATCTGATCATCATCTAAGTCTCAACAATAGACAATCACAGTTTGCTTAAACTAATAACACACAAATAATGAAATGTTGCCATGTAAACATTCACAGTGCAGGTGGAAAAAGTATGTGAACCCCTAGACTAATGACATCTCCAAGAGCTAATTGGAGTGAGATGTCAGCCAACTGGAGTCCAATCAATGAGATGAGATTGGAGGTGTTGGTTACAGCTGCCCTGCCCTATAAAAAAAAAACACACCAGTTCTGGGTTTGCTTTTCACAAGAAGCATTGCCTGATGTGAATGATGCCTCGCACAAAAGAGCTCTCAGAAGACCTATGATTAAGAATTGTTGACTTGCATAAAGCTGGAAAGGGTTCTAAAAGTATCTCCAAAAGCCTTGCTGTTCATCAGTCCACGGTAAGACAAATTGTCTATAAATGGAGAAAGTTCAGCACTGCTGCTACTCTCCCTAGGAGTGGCCGTCCTGTAAAGATCACTGCAAGACTGCTTAATGAGGTGAAGAAGAATCCTAGAGTGTCAGCTAAAGACTTACAAATGTCACTGGCAAATGCTAACATCCCTGTTAGCGAATCTACAATACGTAAAACACTAAACCAGAATGGATTTCATGGGAGGATACCACACAGGAAGTCACTGCTGTCCAAGCAAAACATTGCTGCACGTTTACAGTTTGCACAAGAGCACCTGGATGTTCCACAGCAGTACTGGCAAAATATTCTGTGAACAGATGAAACCAAAGTTGAGTTGTTTGGAAGAAACACAACATCAAAACCTCATCCCAACTGTGAAGTATGGTGGTGGGGGCATCATGGTTTGGGGCTGCTTTGATGCATCAGGGCCTGGACGGATTGCTATCATCAAAGGAAAAATGAATTCCCAAGTTTATCAAGACATTTTGCAGGAGAACTTAAGGCCATCTGTCTACCAGCTAAAGCTCAACAGAAGATGGGTGTTGCAACAGGACAATGAACCAAAGCATAGAACTAAATCATCAACAGAATGGCTTAAACAGAAGAAGACATGCCTTCTGAAGTGGCCCAGTCAGAGTCCTGACCTCAACCCGATTGAGATGCTGTGGCATGACCTCAAGAAAGCGATTTACACCAGACATCCCAAGAATATTGCTGAACTGAAACAGTTCTGTAAAGAGGAATGGTCAAGAATTACTCCTGACCGTTGTGCATGTCTGATCTGCAACTACAGGAAACGTTTGGTTGAAGTTTTTGCTGCCAAAGGAGGTTCAACCAGTTATTAAATCCAGGGGTTCACATGCTTTTTCCACCTGCACTGTGAATGTTTACATGGTGTGTTCAATAAAAACATGGCAACATTTCATTCTTTGTGTGTTATTAGTTTAAGCAGACTGTGATTGTCTATTGTTGTGACTTAGATGATGATCAGATCACATTTTATGACCAATTTGTGCAGAAATCCATATCATTCCAAAGGGTTCACATACTTTTTCTTGCAACTGTGGCAACCAAGGGAGATCCCGGTACTTTTGTGAAGAAAGGTATGTACAGTGACCCAGAATGTCTGCAGTGACCCAGAATGTCTGCATGCTATGAACCTGACAAATTCAGAGGGAAAGACATTATTAAAGCATAGGAAATTACTGCTATCATTTTGGAACATTTTGCATCTTTGTTTCCTACATAAAATAACCGAATAAGGATTACACAATACAATTGATAATACTCAAATAATGAATATCATTAAAGACCAGAATATTGGTCATTAAAATAATCTCAACATAGCAACTTTGATTTTACACTTTGCCTTCAGAAACATTGCAATGTACACTGCCTGGCCCAAAAACAAGTCGCCACCTGGATTGAACTGAGCAAATAGGTAAGAGCCTCCTATTGGATAGTTACTGCATGGGCGATTATCTTTCAGCTGGCAACAAGTTATTTAACCCCAATTGATGCAATGAGTAGCTTCTCATAATCGTGTCGAAAGACACATGCTGTGGTCGTGGAAAAGATGTTAGTCTGTTTTAGAAGGGTCAAATCTTTGGCATGCATCAAGCAGGGAAAACATCTATGGAGATTGCAGAAACATCTAAAATTGGGTTAAGAACCGTCCAACGCATTATTAGAAACTGGAAGGATAGTGGGGAACCATTGTCTTCGAGGAAGAAATCTAAGAAGAGAGGCAGATGAGGAGATGCACCCATCATGCCTAGTGCCTACTATACAAGCCTGTGGGGGCAGTGCTATGATCTTAGTTGACTGCAGTTGGTCAGGTCTAGGTTAAGCAACATTATGTGCCCAAAGAATGAGGTCAGCTAACTACCTAAATATACAGAATGACCAGGTATTTCCATCAATGGATTTTTTCTTCCCTGATGGCACGTGCATATTCCAAGATGACAATGCCAGGATTCATCGGGCTCAAATTGTGAAAAAGTGGTTCAGGGAGCATGAGACATCATTTTCACATGTGGATTGGCCACCAAAGAGTCCAGACCTTAACCCCATTGAGAATCTTTGGGATGTGCTGAAGAAGGCTTTGCGCAGTGGTCCGACTCTCCCATCATCAATACAAGATCTTGGTGAAAAATGAATGCAACACTGGATGGAAATAAATCCATCCAATGAAATATAAGTGTGTGACCTTTTTTTTGGTGGCAACTTTCTTTTGGTCAGGCAGTGTATATTTAAAAGTTAATAAAAGGGATACTATAAGCAGCACCAAAACATCTTTAGCTTAATGAAGCTGTTTTGGTGTATGGATTGTCTCACTGCTTAACTCTCTGCAATTTAAAGTTAAATCACTTTGTTTCTGTTAATACAGTCCTAGCCACAACTCCCCTGGCTGTAATTCACACAGCATCCATGAAAAAAAATGGTTACATTTTCAATAAAATCTTATAGCACAACGTGTTTGTTTTAAAAGTTCTTATCTCCTGCTCTGTTAATTGAACTTTAGTTACACATAGGAGGCTCCTGCAGGCTTTAAAAAGGCTTTTTACAGAGCACATAATAAATTCTAAATTAAACACAATTTGCAATAATGGAAGCTAATAAATGTAGACTTCAGACTTCAGGAGGTTTTTAGGGAGGCTTTGTGAGTAGCAGGTTTGAGAGTTGTGGCTAAGGCTGCATAAACAAAGTGATTTAAAGGACCACTATAGTGCCAGGAAAACATACTCGTTTTCCTGGCACTATAGTGCCCTGAGGGTGCCCCCACCCTCAGGGACCCACTCCCGCCGGGCTGGGTGGCGAGGAAAGGGGTTGAACTGACCTTTATTCCAGCACCGGGCGGGGAGCTCTCCTCCTCCTCTCCACCTCCTCTCCTCCTCTTCGGCTGAATGCGCATGCGAGGCAGGAGCTGCGCGCGCATTCAGCCGGTCTCATAGGAAAGCATTCACAATGCTTTCCTATAGACGCTTGCGTGTTCTCACTGTGATTTTCACAGTGAGAAGCTCAAGCACCTCTAGCGGCTGTTAATGAGACAGCCACTAGAGGATTTGGAGGCTGGATTAACCCATTTATAAACATAGCAGTTTCTCTGAAACTGCTATGTTTATAAAAAAAGGGGTTAATCCTAGAGGGACCTGGCACCCAGACCACTTCATTGAGCTGAAGTGGTCTGGGTGCCTAGAGTGGTTCTTTAACCTCCAAATCACAAAGAATTGAGTAGCAAGACAGCTATGCACCAAAACCACTTAATTAAGCTAAAATTTTGTGGTGCTTAGGGTGTCCCTTTAATGAGGATTCAAGAAACACTCCTTAATATTGTAAGCCATTTGTGTATTTTATATGATATCTTTGGCAGTTTTTATGGCATTTTAAAGTTTATAATAATAAAATAATAATTACGCATAACATTTTCAGTGGGGTTAAGAGTATCAAAGTGCCTCATAAGAACAAGATTAATGCCTATATAATAGACTCTTAACAATGATACACTTGGGTTCTGCTGATTAACAATTGAATATATAAATTGCTTTTGACTGCTAATTACATTATTCTTACACTGAAAATTCCAAGCAGCAATCAGTGATGCATTTTACATTTGGCCCACATATTTTATAATATACTCTAAGAGCTACCAGTTACAATGGGGTCAGTTCAATAAAGAACCTTAGATATGTAACCCAGCTTATATAACTTCTGGTGGTAAATCTTCAAAACGGTTATTTACTAGTAATAGAAATCTCTCACTCATCCCATTGTACAGCGTTATGGAATTTGGTGGTGCTTTATAATTAGTAATAACAATAATTATATATTTTAGTAAAATGTATATGCAGATATTTTCCTTAATTTTATTGATTTAACACTGTGATTATGACTTAAGGTTCTTAAAGAGATATGTGTCCTCTTGTATTAATTATTTCAGCCCTTAAAGGACCACTATAGGCACCCAGACCACTTCAGCTTCAGTTTCAGAGAAACTGCTATGTTTACCTATGGGTTAATCCAGCCTCTAGTGGCTGTCTCATTGACAGCCGCTAGAGGCACTTCCACGCTTCTCACTGTTATTTTCACAGTGAGAAGATGCCAGCGTCCATAGGAAAGCATTGATAATGCTTTCCTATAAGACTGGCTGAAGGCGTGTGCGGCTCTTGCCGCGCATGCGCATTCAGCCGGTGACGGAAGAAGAGGGAGGAGAGTCCCAGCGCCGGAAAAAAGGTAAGGGATTAACCCCTTCCTCCCCCTTCAGCACCACGGGAGTGGGACCCCGAGGGTGGGGGCACCCTCAGGGCACTATAGTGCCAGGAAAACGAGTATATTTTCCTGGCACTATAGTGGTCCTTTAAATAAAGAAATGTTTTAATCACCTATAATTTAAAACCTTTGTATCTATTGCTTCATCTGATCTGATTGCAAGAGTAAATTGGAAATTATATTTTCTGGGTCTATACCGGATTTTATTTTTCTATTTATTTTGCCCCTGGACAACAATATAAGTTATTTAAAAACACTTTCAGAGACATCATAAAATGAGGTCTTGTGTTTTTTATTACTTGATAATGGATACAAGTCGTAAAACAAAAAGCAGGTGCTAGTTCGGGTTTCACTGACATTAAGTTAAATTATTCAGGTAGCACAATAACCTAAATTATTTTAGGAAGATTTTTCAGATATCTCAGATATCCTGAGCTGTGTGCAGGATCATTATTGCCATCTTTAGTAAACCATTCAAACCAATGTCTTCTGTAAATTTAGCTTTAGTAATGGTACCGTCTGTTATTTATTTATTTTTTTAAATCGACTCGCAAAAAAATAAATAAATAACAGACGGTACCATTACTAAACCCATTACTTTTTAACTCATCCCATTAACCAAGTAAGTAGGCTGCCTTTAATACCTAAAACACAATCCCTTGTTTACTGTAAGCACCAATAAGTTTTTCAACATGATTTTATATATTTTTTATTATATATTATAAAAAATATTATGTGTATAGTTTTTGAGTCTACAAATCAGCAGCACAGACGATGGCTCAGCTTTTGTCATGTGACCAGTATATTTTGATCCTATGTAAATTTATGTCTGTAGAGCTAAATATTTCTCCTAGTACTTTACTTTGACAATGACTGTAATTTACTGGCGGTAACGTCCTTGAAAATAATGTTTTCACTCTATCACTGAATTCACCTGTCCCATTATCTAACGAGTGACATTTGCAGCTATACTCAGTTAGCAAAGCTTCTATTTCCAGCTCTTCCTTTGAATGACGTAGCTATTTTAGCACGGGGATGTAGCAGAGCAACAAAATAGAAGTAAACAAAAGATGTCCCATTGTGATAAAAATGAAGCGAGTGAAAAGCTTGTTCCTTTTAAAGCAGCATGCAGTAATTGTCAGAAATGAAAGTCTAAATTTGACTCAGCCTATGCTGGCACAGCACGACTCTTATGCATTATATATTTACTGTTAGTGAGGTAAGATATGATTAGCTTGTAAAGAGGAATGAATGTTTCCATTTTCTCTTAATTGCCTAGAGCTGTTAACATGAGAAATAAAATCTACTGGTGTTTTGATTTTATACTGTGTATTATGAGGGACATGCATACATTATGTTGCGCAGGGATTTCACTTTGGCATAATACACTTTTTTTTTTTTTTTACTATTGTATCAAAAATACGTACAAATCATTTCAAATTGAGTGTTATTACAAACATACTTTCTGACATAAACAAATTACAAAAAAAAGTAAATAAATAAAATAAATAGATAGCGTATAATCATGCATATACATCCATATGTTTATTTATTTTGTTAAACCATTCTTTGATCCATCTTTTCTATCTTATAATTATTAAACCATTGGATGTATATCAAATCTTGCTTTGGCTTCTTAAAACCTTTTCCTGTTAATTTAATCTTATAATAATAATAAAAAAATTTTTTTAAAAATAG